ATTGGTGAATCAGTATGTACTTCATTGTTGGTGGGAAGGAAATCTCAAGAACATTCTTACCACGGGTATATATTCCAGAGAAAATGAAAGTCATCCGTGGCAATAAAGATCTCTCAATATTTATATACCCAACCAATGAATCAATGATGTCTGATTTAATTTTTTCTGCATCCAGGAGTTTTTGACAAGATTGTCAAAAAGGGAATGTCATGTGAATGAGAAAAACTTGGGGATCAGTTTGTACTTCAATAGCCGCCAAATGAAGTGGGCTTGGCTGGATGGCTCAGCTTTTACGTTGGACAAGTAAGCATGCTCCTAGTCTTTTAGAACACTAATTGTAGGACAGTCATGTTGATTAATTAATGACATATGATGAGATGTAAAATTCTTTGGTCTTGTGGTTCCATGAAATGGTAAAAAGAGAAAATAGGATGAGGTGGAAGAGAGTAAAGCAAAATTGTGTTGGCAGCATGCTAAGAAGTTACTCAAGCAATGTCTGATGACATCTTAAGAAGCCTTTGCTGTTCTCTTTATTTTTAATCTTTGTTTATTTCTAATGTTTATAATGTTAGTAACCTAGTATGTATCAGAGTATTGTAAAACATAAAAGTGGTTACACTATCAGTAGTTAGGTGATCCAAATCACATTGAGAAGCCTTATAGGGTATAAGAAGCTGTAAGGAAGGGGTTGAAATTCACAAACAGTGCTCACTTCTTCAGCACATATACTAAAATCGGAATGAAATTCACAAATAGATTTCAGATTTTTTTGTAATGTATACCTTATATTTGTCATTTACTATGTTAGTGACTTAGCAGAGGAATATTGTTTTGAGGCTCCCTTCTCTGAGGTCTGTTTGCTTTTGAAAGGATCAAATACTCTTTATTATGTTTCTTTAATACTTAATAAATTGGAATAACTTTACTTGAATGCATTGGAGTGCCAAATAAATTTTAATCTGTAATCTAAATTCTGTTCTCTTCCAGGCTTGGATTAAAAAGACCTAACAATACCTATAATCAGTGTAAATTTATTAGAAATGCCAAGTTAATTGATGGGAATTGTGAAGAGCATGTGCATTGTATGTGTAAGAAGACAACCTATGGACATTAAATTTTTAAAGGTTTAAAAATAAAGGAAATGGTGAAAGTTTTCTGAGATAATTTTTCACCTCATGAAAGAAAGTCAATGGTTATGTAAAACCACGTGTCTTTAGAGTGCTAAATCCCATGCAAATTATCCATAATAAATACAGCATTAATTTATTTGAAGTTTAATAACCAAAGATTCAAACATAAGCTATCGTGATTGAGAACCCGACATGAAGAGCAGGAAGCTTGGAAGGATGAAGTTTGAAAACTTTGAAGATTTGGTGCTGTGCTGCAGCTGTTTCAGCACCTGCGTGTCTGCATCCCAATCAGAGTGCCTGGTTGCCATGCTGCTTGCTCTGCCTCTGACTCAGATTGCAGCTGATGCATTTGGGAGACAGCAGGTGGTGGCTGAAGTGGTTGGTTCTGCAGCACTCACATGGGAGATTTGGATGGAGTCCTGTGCTTCTAGCTCCCTGTCTCAGTGCTGGTGATTATGGGTCTTTTGGTGTTGAACCAGCAGATGGACTTTGTCTCTCTCTCTGTTTGTTTCACTGCTTTTCAAAGAGTATGAAAATAAAAAATAAACAAAAAGTAGAAAGAAATGAAGATGGGGGTCAGTCTGTGATGATTAGAACTTTAAGGATTCCAAAATATTTAAAACCATTCAAATTAAGTCACAATATCCATGTATGGTCAGTTTGAATACTAGTTTTTGATATTTTCTGAATTCTCCTCCTCCTCTTCCTCATGAATCTCTCTCTATCTCTCTCTATCTTTATCTCTCTATATAACTTATAATTACGCTAGCATGCCCATAACTTTCAAAGAATGATATTTTTTACATATTTGGCAAGTAGTGGCTTGAAAATGTTAAAACTCAGAGAATGTAAAAACACTTCTTGGTATAAAATGAATAGGGAAGGTGAGAATGAATATTTTTTTATACAATATTTTGTAAATGCATCTCAACTCTTGTTTGTTTTGTGAACTTAGTAGCTTTTTGCAATGTCAATGGCAAGAGAAACACCACAATTATGAAAGAAACAGAAACAAATTAACTTGAGTCTATGTTAAGTTGGTGTGAGATACTGCTTTCCAGTAAAGATAGTTATTTCATGTAATGAAAACTGTAATATTTTCTGCATATTATGCTTGTTTTAAAAAAAAAATTTAAAGGGCTTACGTATTAAACTTGAAGTGTTTAGAAAGAGGGAGATTGATCTTCCAGTCTCTGGTTCACTTCCCAAATGATTACAATGACTAGAGCTGGGACATCTGAAGCCCGGAGACTCTTCCAGGTCTCTCGAGTGGATACTGAGGCCCAAGGACCAGGACTGTCCTCCTCTGCTTTCTCAGGTCATTGTCTGGAGCTGGACTGGGAAGTGGAGCAGCTGGGCTTGAATTAGTGCACAGACTGGTGATTAGCTTGTTATGCAATCATGTCAGCTTCTTGTTGATAATTTTTAAGTCAGGTCATTAATATATTATTATTATTATTATTACTATTATTACATAATTTTTATTGCTTTTGAGCTATGTACACTTTCAAATGTTACTCCTGATCAGATATGTGGTGTCTACAATTTTGTAGATTCTCTTTACTTGCTCAAGATTTGTACTGTGCAGAAGCTTGCTTGTGTGTGTGTGTGGTGTAATTCTACCTTGCCAATTTTGCTTTCGTAATGTATGCTTTTTCTATGACATTTAAAAATGTTTAAAGGCCAACATCAAGAAGAAATGGGAAGGTGAGCATTTGATGCACCCTTTGTGTCATATCAGAATGTGTGGGCTCTAGCTTTGGATCCACTTTCAGTGACAGTGGCTTTTAGTGTAGACTTTTGGAAAGAGCAGGTGAATGGCATAGGCTATTAGTTCCTACTTGTCATATGGAAATTGTGGATTGAATTATGGGTTTCTCCATTGAACTTATCTGTACAATAAGATGCTGGAATCTATGCATGCAATTAGAGCATCTTGACTGAATTTGAACTGTAATACTGCAACAAGGTGGAGGAATCCACCATGGGGGGAGGGTACGTGGAGGGGTTGGGGTAATCCCAGAGCCTATGAGACAGTGTCACACAATGCAATGTAATCAATGAAAAAAAAAAAAGAATTATGTGTTTCTGAATTGGCTTTGCCCAAGTGCACCCTTCATGGACAATCATTTCCTATCTAAAAACTTAAAATAAGTAAATAATTAGAACATTCCTTATCATTAGTGTGTATAAAAAAAGGACTGATGTGGTTTCACAGGTGAATTAGTTACGAGCTTTTTTAAAAAAAAAACAATTTATCTATTTATTTTTATTGGAAAGTCAGATATACAGAGAGAAAGAGAGCCAGAGAGGAAGATCTTCTGTCCACTGAATCACTCCCAAGTGGCCACAATGGCCAGAGCTTATCTGATCTGAAGCCAGGAGCCAGGAGTCTCCTCCAAGTCTCCCACGAGGGTGCAGGGTCCCAAATCTTTGGACTGTCCTCAACAGGCCACAGACAGGGAGCTGTGTGGAAAATGGGGCCCCAGGGACTCCAACCAGTGCCCCTATGGGATCTCTGCACCTGCAACACATGGAATCTGGCTGCTAGGCCACCTCACTGGACCCACATACTGAGTTTTCAATAAAAGAATAAAGAATCTTTGTTGACCTGCCCACCAAAATAGAGCAAGATGTGATGCGTTTATGAAGGTCATCACTCTGACACTGAAGCCAATGACATCAGTGACAACTCAAAGTCACTGGTGAACCTAACCACAAATATACTCGCAGACTGAATTTAACAATATGTTCAAAGTGTAGCTGAAAGAAACGGAATGAAATGTGTTCCTATAATGTCATAGTAGCTCACATCAACAAAAGCAGAGACAAACAGAACATGGTGTTCTCAAGAAATGCATGGAAAATATTTTACAAAATTCATGATAATTCTGAACAGAACATGTGTAAAAGGAGCTTAACAAAATAAAGGCCAAATGTGAAATACCTACAATTAATGGCTAATCTAATATATTCTCTCTAAATCCAGTACAAGGCAAGAGTGATCACGGTCATCATTACTATTCAACAATGTACTAGAAATCATAGTCTAAAATTTAAGCCAAAAGGAACTTAAAAACTTATTTGTAAGAATATTAAATGTGAAATAGGAATAAATTTCATTAGAGAAACAGACAATGACTTGTATGCTGAAAACCACAAAACTTTGATGAAGGAAATTGGAGAACATAGACAAATGGAAAGACACCCGCATGCACGAACTAGAAGTATTAATGTTGTTAAAATGTTCTTGCTACAAAGTGATCTACAGAGAGAATGCAGCCCCTATAAAAATTTCTATGGCATCTTCACATAAAAAAATAATTCTGAAATTCATCTGAAGCTACTGACGACAACAAATAGCCAAAGCAGTATTGAGCAAAATTGCAAGAGTATTATTTTGCTTCCTTTTTTGTTGTTATTGATTAGTAACTGGGACCTATTGGAACTATATTCCTGGGATTAATGTTCAAAAACCTAACAAGACACCAAGGCATACTAGGAAAATTCTCGTATATACCACTTAATGAAACATTGCAACTACTACAGATAGAAAATGTTCAAAAAGACATACCACAGCCGTCCCTGTAAGGAATACTGTCAGAGGATTAACAGAATATGGATTATAGCTAGGTACATTTCAAAATAATTTAAAATATTTTGAAACTACTTGTTCAATGATCAATGATGCATTCAGTGATATACTCAACGACTTTTTTTTTTTTTAACCACTGCAAGGTCTGTGTGGAAGCTGAGTGTCAGTGTAGGTGTATTTTGTAATGAAACTTACAAGACCGATGGAAGACGTCAGATGGTGGTGCAGTCAGACTGAGCTGCAGCAAACCAGTTTCCTGTGTGGTTACATTCAGGACAGTCTTCTGCACGGTGCTAGAAGGTTCTCGTACAACAGACCGAAATATTGTCAACCTGTGTAGTTTTATATTTTCTTGTGGTTCCCAGCCTCTTGCTCCCCTCTAAGAAACATCAAAATTCTTAAATTAAAAATTTTTCATAGATCTAAGATCTGCTTCTGCTCAAGTTAGATATCCACACACCTTGTGAAGTTCAAGCATCTTCTCAAAATCAGGTATTTGTAACTTTCCAGTTATTCGTTCTATTTCTTAGAGCATTTTTCAGGATTTTGAGAGAAGTTGCATTGAGATATTGAAATGATATGTTGAAATAAAATTTATATTTTAGTAGTTGGGTTTATGTATTCTAATTTTATATATACTTCTTTGTGTACGTTGATTCTGAACTGTCTATAATGTTGAGAAGAAAAAGGAATAGAAGCATGAATGACGGGGTAGGATAGGAAGGTAGAGCAGGAATAAGGTCACAAAGGATTGAAAAATAAGAGCAATGTAGAAGAGAAATTTGGTAAGCTTGGATAATCTTAAATAATCTAATTACTATTATTTATTTTTATTATTTTAACATAATACTTAGAAGAGGTTTAAATATGCAAAGCAAAAATTGTGAGATAATTTATTTTTAGTAATACAATTTTGTTATTATAGTCATCTTGGCTAAATATCTAGTGTGAAACAAAATATTGAAAAACTGCTGTATACATGAAATGGACTAAAATAAGGAATACAAAGCTCATCTGAGGCACTCCTAGTCAGTGACTCCCATGCTTTGTTTTGACTCTGAGAACTTGAGCATTTTCTTTTCTAATATGACAGTAAACATTTTTATATTGTTTTAGCTTTTCTAAAATGCTTCAAAACCGCTCTCCAAATTTTATGTGAAATGTTTTGTTTAGTTCCCAAAATATTAACCTTGCAGCTAAGTTGATGTTGATATTTGCATAATGAAATAGAAAGAACAATTATGGCAGTAAGAAGGCGATAGTAAGAGGTTAATCATAATGTGCATGATACTAAGGAAAGAAAAGAGAGGAGTTGATGAATAGGATGGTGGCAAATACAGAATGAAGAAAAAAATATAGAAGAGGTTGTTATTGAAGGATGTGGTATTTGGCTTATCGTTAAAGGAGGTAGATTTGATTTATGGATTGCATGAAGTAGAATTATAATGAGCCAGTGTAGGAGACAAATTGTATCGAAGAGGGAAGAAATGGAACTAGTCCCGAGGACTGGAGAAATGCTGATACCACCAGCATGGCCCATGGAATTCTGGGAAAATAGAGCAAGGCGGGAGTGGAAGAGAAGTTCATGAAGGCAGGGGCAGGTGCACTCATAGAGGTCCTCAAAGGCCAGGGGGCGCTGCGAGATCAATTCCACCCTGCAGGGTGTTGTGCGCCCATCAGATCAATCGCTGTGTTGTGTTTTTATTGCTAGCAAATGATATTGTGGATCTTAAATGTGAATGGAAAATAGGAAAGGTACCAAAAAAATGGTCGAGTGTCCCAACTCGCTAACCAAAAAAAAAAAAAAAATTATACTTAAAATGTGCTTATGCTTGTACTAAATCCCCATTACTTATGACCTCGCTGTACTCCATGCTACAATATTCAGCATCACATTTATTTGTTGGTTTCACCACCTATATGAATTAAAAACTATTTTGACTCGTTTTTATTTTGCCTGTGCCATTCAGTAATGAGTGAAGTGGGGGCGATTTATTCCAATGTGCGACCTCAGCATTTATCTCGGCAGCAGAGGAGACAGCATCCTGAGACCCGCCCTAGCAAAGGTCAGTCACATTTTAGGTGTCTAAGTGGACGTATTTTCTGTTTTTTGTTTTTTAAATTCAATTTTAAAATATGCAAAACTTTGTGAAATGCACACACATGGAAGTTAGAGTCTCTTTTTCTTCCAATCAACAACAATCTACACAAACTTTTATGGGAAGATGAAGCCTTTTTCTCACCAGGGTAAGTAGTATCACTTCATTGTGTGCACTAAATCAGTGTTCTTTTTGAAAGAGTGAAATAAAGATAATCTTTTATCCACCGGTTTACCTCCTCAGTGTCTACAACAGTATGCTTCCTGACTTCCAGATGTGTATCAGAACTACAGTAACCAAACCAGTGTGACAGTGGCATGTACAGAATGATAGAGACAAGTTCAAGATCGCAGAAATAATTTCATACGTTTTCAAAAGCAAGATCATGACAAAACACAACGGAGCAAGAATAGTCCCAAACAGTGTTAGGAAAACTTTGCCCATGAATAGACGGCAGAACATGGACTCGTGGAGCTGGAGCCATAGTATGCTAAGCCTCTTCTTGTGCCACCATCCCACGTAGGCACCAGAGCACATCCTGGCTGCTCCACTTCTAATCCAGCTCCCTGTTGATGGCCTGGGAAAGCAATGGAGGGTGGCTCAAGTCCTTGTGCTCCAGATCCCATGTGGGAGACCCAGAAAAAGCTCTTGGCTCCTGGCTTTCAGCTTTGAATCAGCTCAGATCCGGCCATTATGACTGTCTGGGGGAGTAAAACAGCAGATAGAAGATCATTTTTTGTCTCTCCTCTCTGTAACTCTACCTTTCACATAAAAATAAAAAAAAATTTTAAGTGGATTCCTATTATATCCAATTCAAAATAACCTTGAAATACATGAAAGATTTTAATGTAGGAGGAAAAATATCTTTTTTATTTGTTTTGATTCAGGGGAGTTGTGATTTTGCTTTGTTCCCATTCTTGGGGTGTGAGCCATCCATGTCATTTACTGTAGTGAAGCAGGAAACAGCACGTTGAGTCACATAGTTAATGCCCTCTTGCAGATCTTGCTGCTTCGTCTCCATGGAAATGTGTGGTGGTCATGCTGGGGATCCTGGGCCTGGTGCTGCTCGCGTCTGTTGCATTTTTAATCACAAAGTGTAAGTCATGGTATGGCATAGAAACCCACTTGCTCATTGCTTATGGGGAAATCTTCTGAAGTGAACCAATTTAATGTTTCAATCATGCATAATGGTCTCTGCAAAGAGCTGGAAGTAATGTCTTACAGACACCCAAAAACTTCACATTTTCTAAATAAATTATGAGTCTTACTGAATGACTTATTGCTTCTTCTCAAACTTTCTCTACTAGTCATAATTTTGCAAAAAAAAAAAAATCTAGACCTGTGAAACAGCTATTCATATTTTCCCTTTTCTGTGATCTTTTTTTTTTTTTTTACTTGAACTTGGTGTGCTTCTAATTTGGGTTTGTGCCTTTCTTATTTAATCTGCATTCTTTGCGGCAAGTGCTCTTTTAATCATGTTTGTATTTCAAGTTAGGATGTTGTGTATAGGAATGTTCAATATTTTTCTCTATGTAGATTTAACAGTGAGCAGTCTGGGGGCTGGTGTTTGGCACAACAGTTAGGATGATGTTGGAACACCTGCCTTCCGGTTTTGGCTATCATCTTGGTTGTAGATTCCTGCTAGGCAGACACAGCAGGCAGCAGGAGATAGTGTCAGTATTTGGGTCCCTGCCACCTTTGGGGGAGACCTGCATTGAGTTTGGGGTTATTTTTTCTGGCCTGGCACAGTCCTGGGTATTCAGAGTATTTGCATTAATTTTTTTGGCCTATCTCTGTCTCTCTCCCTTTTGAAAGAAATAAGTTAAGTCAATAAAAAATAAAAACTGACTGGAATTTTTTTTCAGTGAATCAGGAGTCATTTCAAGCAGAAGGATATTCAGCAAATAATTCTTCCAATGCAACAGAAACTGAAGCAGGTAATTTTTTCCTTGTTTGTTTAAAAGGTGAGACAATCCCAGACACACCTTCAGAGATCGAGTGGGCAGAGATGGAAAAGGCAGGAGAGGGATCTTTCTGCTTTCACAGTGTGTCTGCAATGGAGGGAGAGAGAAGGGGCACCCCGCCCTATTGCCTGGCTTCCCATGAGTTTGGAAAGGGGAGTGCTTACGTGATATTATCTCTAGTTTCAGGTATGGGGGAGTCCAACCTGGGGAAGGGCGTGAAAGGTATGGCTTCCAATTTGACTAAGCATGTTACTTGAAGCAAGTAATTTTTAAAGGGATTCTGACTCATAACTATTTTCAAAAAAGGTGAGAGAAGGAACAGTTTCAACTGTGTTTTTTTTCCTGTTATGTAAAACTGGATACACATAAGTAGGTGTGAGTGAAATGTACTAGTAGGTAAAAGAGCATGTCCCATGTAGTCGTATTCAGATGTTAGTCACATGATCAAGTAAGGATGCTATCAAATGCAGTTTTTGCGTTAGGACCCTGGTTTTTACTGAATGGCAATTTAAAAAAACCGATTTTACTTATGTATTGCATATCTAGCTCTTTAAGGTTACTTGTTTTTGTTAATATACATCTATGCGTGCTTTTAAGGTATTGAACAGAAATCACATTCTGTTGGTGATGTTAACAGCTATATATTTAATGACTAAATTTCCTGATAAACTTCTAATTTTATAATTTCTTTGAAAAAAAACCTTTTGTTTCTCTCTGTGCATTTTATAAATCTGGAGCTGAAAATATTTTTAAAGGGGTGCATTGTGAATTTGTTAGAAATCCAATACTAAGTGTAAGCATATACAATCTTTAACAGAAAATCAAGTGGTATGTGTCAAATTCGCTGGTGGATTTATTGTGTGTAAGTATGCATTGATGGAAGTTACATTCTATTTTTTTTTTAACAGTGTGGGAATGTCCTATTTGTCGCACCAATTGGCATCAGTATGGAGAAAACTGCTACTATCTTCCAAGAATAGAGGGTCTTTGGGAAGAATGTCCTAAACATTGCATTGATTCAGGTTTAAGTTTTCTTAGATTGGATACTGAAGAAGAGATGGTAAAGACCAAATTTTATTTTATAAATTTGAAGCAGTTTTACTTGTCAGAAAATGCTTAGTATTGATTCACATTTTATATTCTTCAAAGTACTTTTTACACTGAAATCGTGGAGATCCTTTCCATTTGACTGTAATGTTGAATGCACAATGCAATAACCTCTAAGTTGCTTTCCTTAGCACTTGGGACAAAGTACAAATAACTGTGTACAGGCCATCTGCTGTCTGATTTGTTCCTACTTTTCTGAGCTTTCTCAGGGTAGGAAGCCAGGATTTCCTGGAGGCAACTTGCTGAAACCTTCATGGCTGCTGTATACTCCACCCATCCAGGCTTTGCAAATGCTGTCTCATTTACTGGTGGCAGATTTTTTTTTTGGCTTAAGGGTTTATTCATTTGTTTTGAAAGGCAGTTACAGAGATCACTTCCATCTGCTGGTTCATTCATCAAATAGCTGCAACAGGTAGGATTTGACCAGGCCCAAGCCAGCAGCCCTGGAACTCTATGCCAGGTAGCAGGGCCCAAGCACTTGCCACGCACAGTAGGAGCAAACTGGGATGGGAGGTGGAGCTGTCAGGACTTGAACTGGAGTTTATCTGGGTTGCCTCTATTATAGGTGGCTGCCTAACCCTCTGACACATTGCTGACAGATTTTACTCCCACTCTTCTCACATTGAATGCATTTTCACTTTTGAGGTTTTGGATTATTAAAAAATCTCCTTGGAAAACATTTTCTGTTAAAATCATCTGCTGTGGGCATTGTGACACGGAGAAGTCAGCCACCATAGGACATTTATATCCCTTATTGGAATGCTGCTAGGAGTTCCGACTACTTTAGTTCTGATCCAGTTCCCTGTTAATGTGTCTGAGAAAGAGCAGATGATGGGCCAAGAGTTGGGCCACTGTCGTGTGCCAGCATGCAAAAATCCTGCCAGATATGAGGCTGAGAGATGGGCACAGAAAGGATTACTTAGAAAGAATTAAGAATGAATAATACAAGATAAAGAACAGCAGGGACCAGAGTTGCCTCTTGGCACGTGGGTCAGGTACAAGGACCAAGAGCAGCCCCCTGAGTCTGTTTTGATTCTATGTGTACAAATTGAACATGACATAAATCTGAGATTCTGAGATTAATTGTAGGTTACAATAACGATCATTAGCAAACACTTTCACTGATTAGTTAATTTAGTTACTGTCCTAGTTGCTGGGCAGTCTGGTGCTAAGTGAACGACCCCTCATTAACACAGGCCTGTGACCCCTTGTCTTCATGGTCTATATGGAAACCAGGCCTAGATGCCAGCATTCCAAAAATCCATTCCCGCACATGACAAGGGCTTTACCAGAGGAAGGCATGCCTCCACTCTGATCTTGCTCCCGTAAATAACCATGAGAGAGTTAAGGACCTGGTCTCCGTCAATAAAGTGAGGTCACCTACTGGACAGATATTGCACCTAAAGTAAAATCGGGCTGTGGTGAAGCCTGAATCAGGCTAGGGCCAAAGCTAAAAGACCCCACAGACCACTGACATGCAAGTGCCAGGCCTGGACGGGGTTCTTGCCTCCTGGCTTCAGCCTGGGCTGGCCTGGCTATTGAGGTCATAGGAGTGAACAAGTGGATGGAAGATCTCACTTTCTCTGTGTCTTTATAACAACAACAACAATAATAATACAAATCTCATTTTAGGTCTTCCTTTCATCCGTACCCCTTTTTTTGTAGTATGCATGCTACTGACAATGAAGGCCCAATTGATATCTTTCCCTTTGGAATACGTAATCTTATCTAAACAATTTTAACTATCAATCATATTTGTTCACTTTTACAATCCATAAAATTAATTCCTTAGTGAATAAATGAGTCACTGGCAATTTTTATATATCTATGGCTCAAGGATGTAACTCAATGTCTCCATGTTTTGTTCAGTAGCATGGGACAGAGAGTTCAAATGATAGATTCATGTCATTAAAATGATACATACAGATGTAAATCACTATATTCTGTTTCATGAAAGTTCTACTACCTCATTTGTTTTTTTTATCATTCTTCAGAACTTTGCAAAAAGTTTGTCAAAGATGGAGTGTAGCATGCAACAAGAAAAGTTTTGGATCAGTTCATATTATAGTAGAAACCAGCAGAAGTGGGTGTGGCTGGACGGCACAGTTATTACCTTGGGCAAGTAAGTCTTCTGATGTCTAAACTTCCATCCAGAAAAACACTATTTTTGTGTAACTAAATAATATGGATGTGGACAGGTGTTTTATTTATTACTCAGGAAAAAGATAGAAGAGAGGAAAGCAAAAACAGCTGCTGTACTAAGCTAAACAATTTACCTTTTTGATTCACCGAGGTAGTTTAACAGTTCTGTGATTGGGGTATTAGCATTCTATATTTTATTTAAAGGTAATTTAATAAATAAACTTGCACAAGATTATACACTAAGAACATTCCACAGTTAAAATTTTAATTTTGATGTTATTTGTTTTACTCTAAACTGTGAATGCATGGTGGTTTAACAAATGATTTATTTACATGAAAAGCAGAGTTAGAAAGAGAGAGAATCTTCTATCTGCTGGTTTACTCCCCAGATGACTGTAGTGACTGGAGCTGGACCAGTCTGATGCCAGGAGTCAGGAATTCCATCTGTTTCTCCTGTGTGAATGGCTGAGACGCAAACACTTGAGCCATCTTTTTCACATTAATGGGGATTAAATTGAAAGTGGAGAAAAATTGGCACCTGGTGGGATGATGGCAGTGCAGGTCCAAGCTTAGCCTCTTGTGCCACATTGTGGCCCCTGTGGCAATGCTTTCTTCGTGTGTGTCCTACCTTTTGAGGGCTTACAAATCAAAATTACTTTGTGTACTTTCTTTTTCATTTTCCAGGACTCTTCAAATGTATTTCCACACATAGGGGACTTAAAAAAAACAAAAGAAATGTTCTGACCACTTAGGCGGCCAGAGTCTGAAATCAAGGTGTTGGCAGAGTTGATTCCAGATGGATTCTCCTGGGCAAATATTAGTTACTATTGATGATAAATAGCCATTTTGTTGTATGTGTAAACGCCATCAACTTGTCTTGTCAAAATGGTGACACAGAAAGAAAACATTCTGCGTCTCAGTCACTGTTCTTTCATTTGTGAAAGATGGAAGGGCAATCTTAGTTTCTTTGTAATTTACTTTAGAGAAATTATTTTATGAGGATGTCGTGAGCAACACAGTAACTGACAAATTTAAGCATGTGAAAAACTTCTGGCATGTAGGAAAGGAAAAGCATAATAAAGGTACCATCCTATCTTCCTCCCTTTTACATTCTATCCTAAATTTTAGTAGTAAACTAATTGTCAGGTGCATCTTTAAATATTTGAATCTAACTTAAAAATCTTATCATCATTAAAAAATGCTTGAATAAAATAATCCAGATTCTGTTTAAAGTGTCCACACCCAGCAAATATTATTTTCCAACACAATACTGGTGTTCAACTTTAGTTTTTAGATTCATTTAGGATTCAAAGTGGTTTCCTATTTGGTTCTAATTACTAAATGTAGCTCAAGATTACTTCAGGAACTTTGCAGAAAAATGGAATTAGAAAATGTCATTGTGCTAAAAATTATTTTGGAACCCATGCTTATGAGAAGTATTTAAAAAGCTGCTGGAAAATGCATGCTATAAAAATCTATGCATGGATTTCAGAGTAAATTTATTGTTTTACTTTCATTTTTTGAAAGCAGTCTCATCGATGTATGCCTCCACTCAGGAAATAGAACATATTTAATAGAGCATTTCCTAAATTGTTTTGTCATTATATGCAAATTACAATCTTTTTAATTATTATGTGTACCAGCTAGGATGAACACCTGTGCTCTAATCTGGAAGAAGCAAAATAGGTATTTCCAAAGACAGAGTTAATTGCTATTATGATTCATACCACAGTGCCTGTTTACTAGAAATCTGTAACTAGGAAAAGGTGGTTAGCCTAGCAGTGACACCCACATCCTGTACCACATTCCCTGGGTTTGGTCTCCAGCTCAACCTCCTAAATGCAACTTCTTGCCACTGCAGACTCAGGGATGACTAAATCATCTGGGTTTCTGCCACTCAGGTGGAGGGCCTCGATTGGTATCTCAGCTCTTTACTCTGATCCCAGGTCAATTCTGTCCATTCTGGGTATTTGGGGAGTAAACCAGTGCATGGAATGATTCTCTCACTTACAAATAAATTTTAAAATTATTTTTTTGAAAAAAGAAAAAAAAAAAACTGAAATGCAAACAAAATAGTGTAAATCCAGAAGAAAATTTTGAAGTTGTTTGAAATCAGAGATGATAGCTAATGTTTCATTTTTAATTCCAGATTTAAATGTTGGATCTGATTGCTGTAGCCTTCATTATTTGTGTTGATAGAACCCAAGAAAGTGGCACTTTTTCTTCTTTATAGCCATAACAATATGAAATGAATTTTAAAAATGCAATTGTCATATGAAGTAAATTTGGAAATTAATGGAAAATATTTTTCTTCTAGGCTTCAACTTCTGGAAAGTGAGAAAAATGTTAATAAATGCATGCTTATAAGAGATGGCCAAATACTGACTGATGATTGTAAAAGCGCTGGCTTTTGTATGTGTAAGACTAGGATGACAGTTGATTAGATCTGTAGGAAAATAATTGATCAAAGAGAGAACATTGGGAAACCTTGCCAGTATGGAGCCGTGACTAGCTACAATCCTGTTGGGAAGGCTGGAGCAGTTGATGTGGAAATGTGCAGGCCGGAAACTCCATAATCCTCAGGTTTAGACACCAGATCAGAAAGATGCTTAAGGAAAGGCACCTGCTAGAGGAACAAACTGTTAACTAGTAAACTCCCTCTTGCTGTTGATATTCTTCAAACCCTCCTGCCTTATGCCTTTGTGACCATCTGTCTTTAAAAAGTCTGATGCTGTTAATAAATGTTGGCGATTGACCATCACTAAGAAGTCCTTGTGCTGCAGTATGTCACATTCTCAGGGTTTAAGCCTGCCAGCAGGGCCCAAAGTCACTGAGGGTGAGGCGACGGTGTTCTTCAGTGGTAAGAACGACCAGAGACAAACTGGTGAGGAATATCCACTTTATTATGAACAAGTTACAAGTTCATTTTTAAAGATTTATTTTTTTTAATTGCAAAGTCAGATAAACAGAGAGAAGGAGAGACAGAGAGGAAGATCTTCCATGTGATGATTCACTCCCCAAGTGACTGTAGCAGCTAGAACTGTGCTGATCTGAAGCCAGGAGCCCGGGGCTTCCTCTGGGTCTTACACGCAGGTGCAGGGTCCCATGGCCTTGGGCTTCCCTTGGCTGCATTCCCAGGCCACAGACAGGGAGCCCGATGGGAAGCAGGGCTACTGGGATTAGAACAGGCACCCGTAAAGGATCCAGGCCACTGGGCCACCATGCCAGGCCCAAGTTACATGTTTTAAAGGTTAAGGTAGAGGAAAGTAGGAGGGTGACTTCTGGCAGTCTCCTCACCCACCAGACACGGTAACTGGCTATAAGGAACATCTATTTCCTTTGACTTTCTGGTCATGTCTGCGGTCACGCTCCAGGTGTAGGACATGGGCAGGTAAGCAATGAGCCACACGTGCCAAGTAGCAGGCAGGGGCTCAGGAGTGATTGGCCACGTGGCATGTTCACAGCCCATGAAGATCTCTATCATTTAGTCCTAGAGGGTCCAAATCCAACAGTCCTATTTTCATCCGTTTTCTCTGTTCTGATTCCAGTTTTTCTACTGCTGTAGTTTTTTCTCTGTCCACTGTTTGATGGGATGGATGGCTGGGTGCTTATGCAATCCTCCTCATGCAGATGTATGTGTTTGCAGCTGAGCAGTCTTCTGTGTAGCCTTTAAAGCTTGAGCCATAGACAACACAGCTGCTGTTACACATTGTCACGATTCTTAGTCTACATCAGAGAAAATTACAAATTATGTTCATGTCTTTCTTAATACAGCAATATAAAAATGAGATAATTTCATTTAGTTTAAGAGGAAATTAAATAATAACATTTTAGGATCATGCCTATACTTTTAATTCACAGGTATTAAAAATATAGTCAACTCAGATGACAAAGGTGAACATTACATCTTGTTATAAATTACATGTCATTTTTTTCATACATTGAAAGTTAATCAATTTACAAGTCTAAAACATCTTCATATACAAATGTAAGTAAACCAAAGTTTTAAAATATTTAAAACAAGTTGAGGATTCAATTTAGAAATCAACAAATGATGTTTAGTGGAAAAATAAACAGCCTCTTCAGATACACATGTGTGTGTCTGTATGCGTTTGTTGTAAGGAAGTTAAATTGTTGTCAAAAGTCTCATATATGTATGTGGGTGTACACACACACACACAAGTGGGTGTCTGCATATTCCACATAGCAATATCTATCTATTGATATATTTCTCCCTGATATGTTGAGTATTTTGAAATTCTATGATTAATAAAATGAATAGTGGAATTTTTTCATGTAAGAATAGATGGATAATATAAAACTAGAAAAATCATGATGAAATGACTTTAATGTGAAATTTAGAAATATTATGGTTTACAAGTAAAAGCAAAAAGATATGAAAGATCCATTTGAAATGTAAGGAGTAGTGTATATTTATAATTAAAGTCTGAAATCTTAATATCTAGTTCAATGATTATCAATATAATTATAATCTAGTTATAAAAAGTAAAATAAATATATAAGAAAAACTATATATAGAAAATGAGGAAGGAACTGAAAAACTTGACCAGCACTAATAGTCAACTTGACACAATCAATGCTTGTGTATAGAATATTCATTCAGTAATGACAGAAAACATTTTCTACTAAAATATGTACAGGACACTTCTACCTATAGACCATAGTCTCCTTCATAAAAAATAATCCCAATCAATGTAAAAGATTTCAAGCCATATAAGCAATGACTTGGAGAAATATAGGACAAAATTAGAAATTTATATCAATGTGTCTCAACCCATCTTCAAATGCTGAAAATGAAATGACATGCTTTTACATAATCCGTCTGCTGAAGAATAATACAGAAGAGAATTCAGAAGCCATTTTAAATGAAATAGAAATGAAAGCATGGCACACGCTATTCAGAGATGTTTCCAAATGATGTCACATGTTGCTAGCAAGAAGGCTTCAGTTGGGACAGTTTTCAAATCACTGTCTGTTTTCATCAAGAGAAGTTAGGAAAAGGAAAGTAGATTTAACCCAGAATAAAAAATACTCATAAAATCAGAGCAGAGATGATTGAATTAGAAAATTTGAAAATGAGTGACAAGTGCAGTGATTCACATCATCCTTAGTCATTTGATAAATCAAAGTTACAGCCACAGTGGGATGTCAAAGCACATCACCTCTTAGAATGTCTGCTCATCGCAAGAATTGGCCAGGATGGGGAGCAGCTGGGACTCTCTCACTTGCTGCTGCAGCGAACGTTAAGTTGCAAACGATTATGAAAACTTGCTTGTAAAATTTGCAAATGTCATGGTAACAGTTTGACACTTTCTTTAAATGTTAAGTGTGTATCTATTTTAGGGAATAGAAGTTCAACTTTCTGCTATTAGTGTAAGAGAGAAAGGAAATTCTATATCCGTGCATATAACCGTACAGAAATATTCACAGGAAGCAGCTTTATTTGCAATAGTCAACTTCCAGGAACTATTTAAGTATACATCAAAAGACCAAAAGATAAACAAAATCTCTTTACTCACACAAGACAGCTAAATCTCAAATAATTATACCAAGTCAAAAGCTGTGACATCAAAAATAATATATCCTATAGACACCACTTCTATTAAGTTCTACTAGCTGCAAATTAATCTATAATCATAGAAAACAAATTATTATCTGGGAAGAGAAAGAAGTATGGAAGGAAGGGCATGAAGGACACTTACAAAGAATCAAAAAGAAGAGTTTGCAAGTGATAGATCTACTCATTTTCTTATTAATTGTATTATGGGCATATGCATTTGCCAAAACTTGCTGGATTGTGCTCTTCATACTTGTAGAAGTTCTTTCCTAGCAATAATTTCTCAAGTTATCCAACAATCAATACCAACGTTTATATTTAGGAGCTTGACTTTGGTCTCCTCGTTTACGAAAGGGACATCTATTTTGCACAGCTCTTATTAGATTGTAAATCATTTATGCCACTTATTATTACTTGTCTTTGTCATTCTGTAGCACCGTCCTCTAAGTCTGGGAGCTAAGCATTCTACACTCAATCTACTAGAGCAAGAGAATTTCACACAAAAACTGTGCTGGAGGACTGATATAGGGATAGCCCAAGAACACCTTTGCAGCTTCTGATCCAGAGACTTACATGTCAGGGGAGACCATGGAGCCATCTTCCCAATGCCAAGATCCATTTGTTGGTGTTTGTGTCAGTCCTAACCAATGATAGGACTTCACCAATTTAAAGAAATCCTGTTTGAAACCACAAATAAACTACAAGTTACAACAGTGTTCAGAATGTTAGTCAACACAAAGCCACCATCATTTAATCATTTGTTTTTTTCACACTCTTAGAAAAAATTATACAGTCTGTTTCAGTTGCAACTCATACTCCAGTTTCTGTGCTTTGTCACTTTGAATGCAGAAATGCTTGGTGACACAGTAAAACATTGAATCTATGTTTCATTCGCATCATTGAGGCTGATGTGCTAATACCTGAACTCATAAATTAAGTACAGGAAAGGAAGTTAAGGACTTTACCTGGTCCACTCTACTATATATCTTCAGGAGGCTGGAATTTTTAGACATGCAGGAAGCTTGGCTTTGTTTCCAGGATTTACTCTCATTTGAAAACCAGTAGCAGTTATTTCTATAAAACATCCAGTCCTGTGGACACGGGCCAGAGTAATCTCCTAAGGGAAAAGATATCAATAATAGTGCATGGGTGCTCAGGAAGATTTCGTCTACACAACGTAAATATTTTTTCTCATCCTTATTCCAAAATGTCAAGTAAACTAAGCTATTGTGTTCATATCTAGGAATACATGTGCACAGACACATTCACGGGAAAAGAGAAGTAAAAAGCAAATATCATCTACATTTCACCAGGACTCCCTCATTGTTAAAAAGAAAACCCTGTGAAATAGGGACTGGAGTAATTTTTCCAGGTCCCGGTTTAATGAAATTGTATATACACTCACTTCATGCCACAGGTACACATTCATAGGATCTGTGACAATAGAAACACTTTGTGAGAAATGTATGCTTAGGCAACATTTTCACTGTGTTAATATCATATGACATCAACATTGTGGAAATACATGGCACACTTAAACTCATAGTCAATTACTTCTGGAATCATGAGGGACAAAACAACACAGATTAAATCAAATGAGAGAAAAGTGACGTGATTAGACACATACTAAATGTGAGATTTGTGAGTCTGTTGCCACTCCAATACAGCAAATTGCTGCGGCCATCTACTTTTTCTATGCCAGTACAAAGACATTTTAAGGATTAAAAAGAATAATGAACATACAAACACATAGTCACTTGGTGTCATAATATAGGTGCAATGCATCCATGTAACTGACAGTACGGTAGGTGTGTTTAGCACAATCACAATGTGGTTAACATGTAGTGTCCGACATTATGATGGCTATGACATCATTGAGTGACATGGATTTTAAATTTCTGTAATAATTTGAGGGGACTGTCTTGATATAGAGTCAGTCATTAACACAAACAACTTTATGCAGCCCACAACTATAAATGAATACAATTGTGGTCCAAAATATTGTAACTATGCACTTACCATTGAAAGAAATTGGAACTTCTTGGTTCAATAACGCTATTAAGATAAGAACAATCATTAAATGCTTGTATTCCTCACCACTCATGTTATCTCAGCAATGTGTGGATATGCATCCATTACTTACAATTCTTGACTATAGTACTCCACATTGTTACCATGACAATGAAGCGCAGACCCATGGCTACAGCAACAAACCAGGCCAACAAAACTGGAAGTGCTGTCAGAGAGAATCAGCAAGCAAAAGATCACAAAGAGAAAGAGAAATGGTCGCGTTATCTTTGTGCTTAATGCAAACACTGGAATGTTTTGCATGAGGAGACACTGTAACCACTTATGTTATTTCTCAGAAAAGGTAATATAAGAAATGCAGATGGTTAAAAACCAGCAGTAAACCAGTGGTCTACCGTCCTGCACTTCTCTAAATCACTCCAGAGAAAAATCACATCCATGCTATTCAATTTTTTATGTACATGCAGCAAAAACCAATTTCTCCAAGTCATATTAAGAAAGCTACGTTTAACAGGTCATATAAAATAACTGTGGATTGCTTTTCATTTAAGTAGAACAATCCAATCATTAGTTCCACCCATAGCTTATAAAATGCCAAATTCTTATAAATGGCTGCAGTGTATTTTATTTTTCTGGACAGAATTGGATTATTAACACGTTTAATCTTCCAATGGATATTTAAATGATTGGTTTTTGCTCTTAAAATAATGGTACATTTCATAAATATCTTGCTTAGTTTTGGGTCCATCTTCTCCCAGAGGTTGATTTTTTGGAAAGGCAGAATGATGCCTGTGATGGGATGTGGGCAGATGGGGGTGGGAGGGAGACAAAAGGAGCAGGAGGAAGAGAGAAAGAGTTTGCTCTGTGTTCTAGTGGTTCACTCTGCAAGGGTCAGCAATGGTCAGGGCTGGGCCAGGCTGAAGCCAGGATCTGGGACCTCTGCTTGGGTCCCTGATGGATGGCAGTGGTCCCAGCATTTGGATTGTCTATATTACTTTGCCAGATGCCTTAGCAGGGAGCAGGATCCAAAGCAGAGCAGCTGGACTCTAACTGGCACTCTGCTACGGGAAGCTGGTGTCACAGGGGACAGCTTTATCAGCTGTCACAATCAGAAGCCCTTGTGAGTCTCTCTGTTGTCTTTATTTGACAACAGTCGAGCGTATGTGCCAATATCCCAAGATTCTATGAGAGTAAATGTCTGTTTTCCTGAGGAAGAGGTCCTGGGAGCTGAGTTGTCAGCACTGTTGCAGTCACATTGTTCTCCAAGCTGGACTTCAACATGTTAGACAAATGGGAAAGAGGGCTTACGGGTTTTCCTCTGTCTGCGTGTGATTGGTGCAGCTCTTTGCTTCGGTCTTTGCTTAGAAACCTTACGTTTTGCCAAGTCCGTATGACAGTTGTGGAACTCGGTCATTTCTGGAGAGAAGCAGTTAAAGACAAGATAAGTAATGGCCTTTCTGTCAAGTGGAACATAAGTGTTAGAAATTCAACTTGTCATTTCTGTGGGATCTACTTCTCAGGAGCAGCCAACTTAAAGGAAAACATGGGGCATTTTTGTTTCATAGTCCTTCATGATTCTGTTCACACATCTTACACAAATAGAACTATATTTATCGATGATAGACAATTATTAGTAAGAGTTTAATCTAGTTGCAATTAAAGCATATCATGAAATCTAACACGAAAATAAGGACATGATATAGTGAAAAAACAATGAACTTTGCTTTTTAGTTTCCTAGCTTAAGTAATGCAGGCATGGAAAAATAAAGGATATACATACAGTTTAATGTGAGTATTTGAAATGATGTAAAATTGAATGAACCTGCTGTAATAGCACCAATCATGTGGCAATTGTTTAGTAAGCTTTAATGTGTCTTATTCTCTATAGAGTGAAGGATAAATGAAGATTTAAGGTAAAAACAAACCATCCTGCCTCTGTACAAAACAAGTTCAAAAAAATTCATTTTCTTCTCCAAACATTAATCATGTAAGTTTTTTATCAATGAAATGAGAGCATTATCCTTAGGTGTGAAAATTGTACTGAGACATTTTGCATACGTTGCATGTACTTTAAGATTTGAACACCCAAAGGAGAGAAGGAAGATATGTCATGGATGAAAAGACAGTAAAAATCATATCACTTGTTGAACATAACCTTACCAGCACAAGTCATTCACACTTTTTGGATAAGAAGCACTTTAAATATGTATCTTGATTTGAATTTCACAGAGGTCTATGAAGGCAAATATGGTTTGTTTCATCTCTCACACAGGGCAAAACAAGCAAAACCATCAAGGGCATAAGAGGTATGCGTTTTCTGTGTCTCAGAACTAGAGTGGTAAAAGTCTGATTCACATTTAATTTTTCTGACTTCAGATCCTAACTTCAGCTCACTATTTCTAGTTACTTTAAATTTTTAATAATTTTACTATTGATTGTTAATAAATTACCAGGAAAAAAGGTTTCAAAGTTTTAATGACTTGATGGAATTATCAAATAAGAAACCATGAAATGAACAGAAAGTGAATTAGAGTTCATTGCTTTCCCTTTATTTATATGCTTAAAATTCTGGCTCTCTTAAAATGACCCAGCAGTAAAACTTGCCATTGATATAGAAAATACGTACCCCAGGCATGCTGAGTTTTCGAATCATGCATCAATTCCATAGTTAATTATGATTGTAGCTTTACTCCAAAGTGGAATATACAGACTTCATCTAAAAATAATTTCTGAATAAAATAAAATTTAACATTTGAGTTGGTGTAACTGTGCGGTGAAGTGTTTTCATTGGGCAAATAAAACACAGAAAATTTCCCCAATGCGAATCTTAAAAAAAAAAGAATGGAAATAACTATGCATAAATAGTTAGGTAAGCCCTTTGTATTTCCTCCTCCCTCAGATACAGGAAGAAGAAAATGTTTAAAAAATGGTCTTGCCCACCCTCCCCTGATCCTTACCCATCCCAACTCTTCCCACCCTATTCAATTACATAAACATCAACAAAAATAAAATAAAGTAAATCTCTAAATAAAATATGTGTAGAAGGGGAAAAAAGTCAGATAAAATTAGTTTTATAAGCTACTTGTGTGATAAGTATTCATGTTATTTGTAAATGTGAAATATAAGTGATATGTTACTTTGTTAATAGTTAATCAAATATTTCACATCAGTGAGGTTGAATAATGACAAATATAGTGTTCATTTTATAGTTATTTTATTGATTAATTTTGCAAGTTAGGTATGAAATTCAAAATTTTTTCCAAATATATTAAGTACAATATTTGTTCATATTGTCATCATTAAAATGTAATCTCACATGTTATACTAAATCTTACATTATCTACCAGAGTTTTCAAGAAAAAACTATTTAGTAAAAAGCATAACATAGTTATTTAGAGTAAATCTATTTCACATTTACTTTGATATTTAGAAGAAACAAATAATTTATTTCTTTTAAAGGTAAAATTTTGTATCAAAGAAAATGAATGACTTCAAAAGATCCTAAAACTCTAAGATGTGAAAAGTAAATTTAAAACTTAATTATCTTGACCCATCATGTGAAAATTCATTCTTTTAGCTTTGTTTCTGCAAATCTTCTTATAGCAACATTAGAACTTTAGATTCTTCAGTATGAACATATCCTAAGTAACTTTCATATGACACAGTCATAAAGGTTAGGCTATAACAGTATGACACATTTCTACCTTCAGTAATTACATTCAAACTTTTTGAAATTTAAACACGCTTCCTTAATTCGCACACATGCACACACACACACACACACACACACACACACACACACACACACGCACACACCTGATCAGAGAGGGCAGATCCTGATGCTTGTGGATAAATGCCTTCTCTAGAACTTGATGACTTAGACATGCCCTGTTTTTAATTTAGAACTGAAAGCAGATATGTCAATTTTTATCCCTTAGAAATATATGACAAATGCCCTACACCATCTTCCTGTGAAGACAACGCAGACCGCAACACTTCCTCTGCATTTGGGCACAGATAATTTTGATAATCTGATGATGTGTTCTGGCCACCCATTGACGGGAAAAGTCTAGGTTCCTCAACATTTTAGGGCTTGAAAATGATGAAATGTGAGGTAATAAGCAGCACAGCTTTACGAAGCAAATGATGGTATTACACAATCTTTCCGAACCGAAAGTGAAATTATGAAATATGACCAGGTGAGCTGTGTGGAAATAAGCAAAGACAGAAGCTGAGTATAGCTACTTAAGATGCACCATGCACATATTTTTCCAGGTTAGACTAGAATCGTTTATGCTGTGACATGTAAGTGAAAATAAGTTTTATATACCTGCGTAGATTACATGCATGTATGAATGTATGCATGCATGCAAATGACCTCTAAGTTGTGAAGATACAATGTATACATAAAACTAATTACATAGAGAGCCGTCATGCACTTGCTAAAATAGTGAGCAGCTGATAATAGTCATTCATGAGTGATTAATGTGAGTGACTTGGATCCATCTCTATTTCTCCTGTTTCTTTGTGGGCATCATTCACCACATGGTCTCCAAAACATTCACTGGAAACATACACAATGAAAAATGAAGCAAGAATATTAAATTTTCTGTGCCCAGATAAGCATTTTAACTCTATTTTCTTCATCAACTTTCTTGATCATTCTATATTCCCCAGAACAGAGCACCCAATCTCATGGAAGAAAGTGTTGTGAATTATAGCTATGTACAATTTCTGTTACACTGAAAAATAATAAGGAAATGCTCATGGTAAAAAGGAAGTGAAAGAAAAGTGACAAACAAATGGAGAATGGTATCCTGGATGTTGTAATGGAACGTAAGGATATTAGAGATGAACTACGTAAGGGAATGCTATGTATCAATATCAGTTGATGAATGTCCATTTCAATGTAAGATGTAAATCTAAGGAAAATAAAGGGTGAAATATAGTAGAGCTCTCTGGGCTATTTTATATGCCTTTTTGTAAATTTAAGATCTTTTAAAGTTTAAATTTATTTAAAAATAGGTTGTGGCTTCTTTGCGGTATAATTATAATCATATTCATCGATATGAATGGATAAAGTCATTGTAGTGTACGCATACACCTATAGATACACACAATGGAACATTAGCCATAGAAGAGATAAAATTCCATCCTCTGCATCAAAATAGATGTCAGTTGAAGACATCATTTCCAGTGAAATAAGATGGACACAGAAAGACAAACACCACACATTCTCCCTTCTATTTGTGAGTTAAAATTAAAATAAATGTGAAACAAAACAGAAACACTCATGTGTAATGGTGTTGTTTAAATGTAATTTTATCAAGTTTTGTTTTATTTTTGTTAAGAATGATACGCTGCTGTAGTTTCAATGAAAAAAAAAAAGACCCAGATTCCATACAAGTAGGAATGTCAATGCAGAGAAAAACATTTCAATACAGTAACTCTCAACTTTAAGGTAAATATTATATAAATTTAATTAAATATTATTTCCCAGGCATTTTTCTGTGTTATGTGATTAACGAAACACGAAATCTAGATAACATTTCTGGATTATAATTATAAATGTATTTTAATATTTTATGATATTTAATACAAACATTAACATCAGCAGAGAATTTATATTCATATTTTAATTTATAATAATTTTATAATATTTACATTGATATACGCATATATGTCTATGCATTTTTACATAAATATGTGTATTTGTGGCTTAATGTTTTAAAGATGTATTTGTATATTCACGTATTTTTATTTGCAAGGCAGATTTTATACAGAGAAAAGGAGAGAGGGACTGGTCTTCCATCCATTGCTTCACTCCCCAAATGGCACCAATGCGAGAACTGAGCCAATCTGAAGCTAGGATCCAGGAGCTTGTTGTGTGTCTTCCGCATGGATTCAGGTCCAGGGACTTGAGCCATCCTCCCACTGCATTCTCAGGCCACAAGCAGGGAGCTGAATCAAAAGCAGAGCAGCTGAGACTCAAAAGCAGAACCCAAACATGATGCCTGAGCCATAGATGGCCACACCCAGCCATTGTGGCTTTAATTTACTTGAGATGACTTATCTCTTAAATACAGGATTGAGGCTAAGCATAGGATAGAGCCCAAACAACATTTGAAATTGCTACCCATTTCGTTTAGTTTAGGTACCAATGTAACATTCTGCAAAGTCACAAAAAGAGCTTAAGGGAGTTTTTTTTTTTTTTTTTAATTTTAAAATAAATGCCAGAATAAAGCTAAACACATAAGAGTTTAGAGTTAGAGTATCATAAGTAAAGATTCCTAAACAAAACTGATACATTGTAGAAAAGATTAGTAAAGAGGGAAACTTCATGTTGATTCCTGTGTAATGAATTAAAAAAATTCCTAGGTGAAGAATTAGGATGTTCAAAGACACTCTGATTCCTTTTCCAATGCTGAGTAACTTATTCACTCAGCAGTTGGTCATGATGGAAAATTTTGGACAGTTTGCTGAGCACCATCAGTAGCATGCAGTATCAGGACTTTCAGAAGAACAAGGACTAACTTACAGAAAACCTACTTTCTTACACATGGAATAAAATCAGCAGACAGAATTTGTGCAGAAATTGTGATCCAGCTACAAAAGTAAGCACATACTATGGGTGCCTTCAACTACAAAAGAACCTACCAAGGCTTCGCAGTTGCATAGTTTGCCAAGGTCTGAATCTATTTTTTTGGAAGAACAGCTACATGTGATGCAAACAGCTGGGTCCAAGTGATCTAAGACAACCACGCTCACAGCAGCCTACTTAGAAACTGCTTTAGCAAGCAGAGAATAACCACCAGGGCTTTGTCCACTGGCCTTCTTGGCTAGTGAGCACAGGCTAGCTTACATGGCTGAGTATGTGTTGAGTCCTTCCTGTGTTCCGCAAGATAGCTAGGTGCTCAGGCCACAATGTGACTTTGTGGTGAGAAAGTGCTCTGGGCAGGATGTGCTCTTCAAGCTGTTGCTAAAACTGGATGCCTTCAGAGGTGTTTTCTGGAAGGTTCCAGAGAAATGAAGGCTAAGACGTGTGGTTACAGCAAAGCAAAAGTTTTATAGTCTTTTCTGTGCAAATGTGCTGGAATTGATAAAACATACATTAAATTAGACATTCTAAAATTCACATTCACAGTGAAGTCAATCACAGAGCCTGGGAGGCTATGCATGGTACTTCAAGGTAGAGATGAGAGGATAAGTAAAAGTAAAAATCAGCAAGAGATACTTGAAAATATGTTTAGTTAGAGACTATTAGGTGTTTGGTAAGACATAATGCACAAGACCATGTGTATTACATAACCATATTCTTGCTTCTGCATATAGATTCAATTTTTCAAGAATCGTTTGTTGAAGTGACTGTCCTTTCCGCAGGAATTGATTTTGGTTGATTTTTCAAAGATTGGTTGTAGATGTGTGAATTAAATTCTGAGGTTTATATTTTCCATTAGTCTAGAGGTCTATTTTTGTGCCCATACTAGGCTGTTTTGATTACAATTGCGCTGTAATATGTGTTGAAATCTTTTATGGTGATTCTTCTGGTTTTGTTTTTTTTTTTAGCACTGACTTAGATATTCATGCTATCTTCTGTTTCTATATCAATTTTGTTCTTGTTTTTCTACATTTGAGAAGAATGTCATCGGTATTTTGATTGGGGTTTCACTGCATCTGCACCTTATGGTTAGCAAAATCTTCTACTTGGGGCGGGTTTCTAAGCTGTGTCAGCCACAAGGCTACAGTTTCATTTTACTTATTGCAGTTGGTACACAGCTCTTTATTCGCAGCCGATTGTGCCACTCCCTCCAGCAAGTTCCAGTTCTGGGTTCTTATGTTGCTTTCCACCATGGTCTTCGCAGCCCCAGCTCCTGGCTCACCACTCTCCACCTCCTGTGAATCAGTGCTGAGGCTGCACCATTGTCTCCACAATCTTTCTCCCACATCTGGTTGGAGCAGGTCCCAGGATTAGGGAGACACCAGGAGTCCTTTATAACTAGGTTGTTGGTGGTAATCTTGCCAGAACCTGTTGGCCATTATTCTGAGGGCCACAGGGAGCTATTTTGACACATATGTTGCTGCAGTCGGTTTAATTTGCCTGTGGGACTAGTGCAATCCTCAGAACTCAGTGAGTTCTCGGGAGCTCAGCACCTGTGTGGCTCACTGACGTCCTCTGCAGTCCTGAACCTTTAGCCACACTGTACAAAATGGCACCTGACGTGTTGCTACTAGAGTTCTTGATCTGCTGGTCATCAGGTCTGAGGACTACTTGGACCTGTCTTAGGTGGAACCTGTAGAATGCCACATTGTTGCAGTTTGCTGAGTCATAAATCAGTTCACTCCCAGCTTAGCGCATGCCCAATGCCTTCCCTTGCCTTTTCCTCCTTACAAAAATGGTGCCTGATTCAGCTCTAGTGGGGTGGACTGGGCTGTGACATCCACCCTGTTTCCCACACTGCCCATTTGGGATCTGCCACTCTGTTTCTGCTCCTGGTTAAATCAAACAGACAGTAGGATGGGCAGGTCTTTGTTTGGGTTCACCTTCTGAGCCCCCAGTGAAAGTCCTTTACCACCTTGTTTCTGGTAGAATTCCAGCTACTAGTGCAGTTCAGATCACCTTTTGCTGAATGCTGCTGGAGTATCAATCACTGCAACACCACACCATTGTTTCCCTGCTTTCCTGCGGCTGTCAGTCTCCTGGTACCCCTCTGCTGTTGCTCTGTCCTCTCCTATTTCCTGGAATGTGCCCTCTCTGCTTCATATTGGTTGATGTTTCTCCATCTGTTTAAACGTGTCCTACCCTGTTCTGCCATCTTGATTATCAGGACAGTCTCTTCAACGAAAGATGTTTAAAAAATTTAAATCTATATATGTAGAAGTATAAGGCAAGAACATGGTTATGTAATACACATGGTCTTGTGCATTATGTCTTACCAAACACCTAATAGTCTCTAAATAAACATATTTT